CTGCACTGGAAGAGGCCTGGAGGGCCTGACCACTGCACTAAGACAGGAAAGAACAGACTAGAAGGGAATAAATTGTCAAGATGAACAAACTGTGAGAACTAATACAGAGTTCAGCAATGATACAGCATAACTAGTTCTCCCCTACACCAACACTAACCTAATGGAGAACATCACAAAAAATAAAATGCCATTTATAATTATAACACTATCTATGAAATACTTAGGAAATAATTTAATGAGGACAAATATTTTATTGATGATAAAGATTAAAACTCTATTATAGCACCAAAAACTAAACAAACAAACAAACAAACAAAAAACTAGCTTAATAAATTTGCTCTGATCATCATTTGGAATCACTACAAACTATGAAGATGGCAGTTTTCATGAATAGTAAATAAATTTACTATAATTCCAATAAAAGTTCCATCAAGACTTTTTGATGACTTACCAATTCTAAATTTCAAACCCAAACAAAAAACTGGATAACAACTAAGACAGTTTTGAAAAAAAGGAGACTGAAGTTGTCAGGGGATTGTGGGGAGGAGCTACCTGTTCATTCCTATGGATATTGAAACACAGTGGAACCGCAGTAAGAAAGTTAGTGAGAGACGGGCATGGTGGTGCACGCCTGTAATCCCAGTGGCTTGGGAGGCTGAGGCAGAAGAATCGCAAATTCAAAGCCAGCCTCAGCAAAAGCAAGGTGCTAAGTAACTCAGTGAGACCCTGTCTCTAAATAAACTGCAAAATAGGGCTGGGGATGTGGTTCAGTGTTCGAGTGCCCCTGAATTCAATCCCTAGTACCAAAAAACAAACAAGCCCCCCCCCCAAAAAAAAAGAAAGTTAGTGAGGTAATTCAGGAACAGTCATAAACTGAGTACTCAAAAACAGACCATGTTTGTGTGGAGCTGAATATATAAGATACAGGTTGCCACTATAAATGAATGACCAAATGGGACACTGATCAGTAGATGGTGATGGAAAAATCAGTAGATGGTGAGGGAAATAAAGTTGCGTCCCTATATTGTATGATAGAGGTGCACTCCAGATAGAGTAAAGTTAAAGAAAGAAATTAAGTGGGGAAAAAAACTTTGTGACTTTTGGAATGAGACAGGATGTCTTTTTTTAAAAGAATTTTTAATATTTAGTTTTTGGCAGACACAACATCTTTGTTTGCATGTGTTGCTGAGGATCGAACCCGGGCCGCACGCATGCCAGGCGAGCGCGCTACTGCTTGAGCCACATCCCAGCCCTGAGACAGAACGTTCTTAAATAAGATCACCCATAGTACAAAAACCAGATTTGACTATGCCAAAATTAAGGACTTCTGTTCAACAAACATAGAGTAGACAAAGTTAAGAGAGATAAACAAATGAGAGAAGACTTTTTAGCACATCAAACTGAAGAGACTAAAAAAGGGAAAGATGGGGAAGCCAACAGGAAATATAAAGAAATGTAAATTTGAACAGACACAAGGAGAAAGACACAGATTCATGTTATTAGGTTGACTAAAATGAATCAAAAACAATAATAATGTTGGAAAGGATATGGAGAAATGAGAAAATGACCACTATTGGAGGGCATCTAAAGAAGTCCTGGAAAATGATACAAAAACTGTGAATTTAAATATGTCAACATCCATAACCCAGCATCCCCACTCATGGATAGTAACCCAGAAAACATCTCCCATGGGACCTAGGTAATGTGTGTTAGGATGTCCACCCCAGTGTGTTGATTGGGTCAGGGACTTGAAGGTAACATTAAGGGAATGGAAATAGAAAGTGGAATTCCAAATAGTCATCAGAAGCAATGAGCTAGATACACATGCAGCAACACAGCTCAGGAAGCTGAGGCGGAGGATTGCAAATGCCAGGCCAACCTCAGGAACTTAGCACAGCCCTAAGCAGCTTAGTGAGATCCTGTCTCAAAATAAAAAGGCTGGAGATGTGGATCAATGGTAAGGCACCCCTGGGTTAAAACCCAAGTACAACAAACAAACAACCTCCCCAACACAGTTATGATACCTTTTATGCAAATTTAAGATACATGCTCAAAACCAATATATTTTACAGAAATATACACCTGAACATATTAGCTTGTGGGCTTCATGGTGGAAGGAGATGAAAGTGGAGATTAGGGATGAAGGGAAAAATATTTTATAGCTAGCCACTCAGAAACATCATAGCACAGAGCCTGGACTTCCTCAGCTGATTGCCTGGGACCAAATCGAAACTTTGCCCCTTACTAGGTTTGCTACTTTGGGCAATGAACTTCTCTCCTTGAACTCCTCCATCCTTAAATTAGTCTGGGTAGATTAGCTTCTGCTCATCCCAGTCTGTGTGAAGCTCCTACCACATCAAGGTCTGTGGTTGCTTTGACCAATAGGATGCAGAGGAAGTGCTGCTCGGGGAGTTCCAAGCCCCGGAGTTGAAGCAGGACAAAAATATCTTACCTCTTCTAGACTCCAACAACAATGAGAGAACTCTTAAAACCGAGATGGCACGTGGAAAGACAGGCCACATGGAAAAGCACCCAGGCCATCTAATGATATAAGACCCCCAGAAGAGGTACTGCCCGTGGACTGCCCAGCCGAGTCCAAGCCGACCCATGGAATAGTGAGATGCACTATGGTTGTTTAAACCACTGAATTTTGTTATTATAGCCTTAGGTAAAATTGTTATGAGGATTAAAGTAAGAAATTTTCTAAGTTCTTGGCTCATGACCTGTACAGACAGATAGTGAAAAAGATGTGTCATGGAGATTCAGATGGCTGAACACATGGGGGTTCCTGCAAGGAGACTCCTTGCTCCTTTCTTCATACCTTGTCCTGTACATCTCTTCACTGGGTATTCATTGTTCTCCCTGGTAATATTCTTTATAATAAACCAGTTTTAAAAAAAAAAAGGCTGTTCTTAGATTTCAAACTGACTGATGCTTCCAAACCAAACTGATACCCTGAAACAAGTCCAAGGCAAGAATGATTAACCTAGCACCCAGGAGCATGGGACATGGAAACGTCATCCCCCCATCCACCAGGGATTGAACCCAGGGTTGCTCAACCACTGATCCACATTCACAGCTCCCTTTTTAAAAATTTGAGACAGGGTTTTGCTAAATTTCTGAGGCTGGCTTTGAACTTGTGGTCCTCCTCAGCCTCCTAAGCCGCTGGGATTACAGATGTTCAACATGGTGCCCAGTGGGAACATCTTTCTTAGGTGTGGTAAAGCAAACTGAATGAAAAGTTTATCACTTTCCATCCTACCACCACAATAAATACATACATACAAGAGAAATTTGTTCTGGACCAAAATGTATATGATTAACTTAATTATTTGTTTAGTCATTTTCTTCATAAGGAAACTGTGACCCCGGTAGGTGAAAAGTGTATTTTAAAAACAAAGAAACTGAATCTTACTCTGTTGTCTTTATGCACAGATTTAGAGCCTCCAAGAAGGCTCAGGATGTGATTTCAGTGACTCATGATCCCTCATTTCTGGGAACCCAGACAACTGATAGACATTTGTTTTTCTCTGTAGCACCAGACACAGAACTAGCATTTTTTTTTTTTTAATGTGTAATGATTTCTCAATTAGCCATAGGCTCCAGTACCAGGAAATGTACGAAAAAACAAAAATATACACATCATTCAAAGATCTCAAGTCAGTAACTTCAACCTCCAGAAGGATCTTTAATAGTTCTTTTTGCTTTCATGAACAATGCTCAATAAATATTGGTTGATTATTTAAAATTAGTTCCTCTTCTTTTTGAAAAGGGTTTAAAACAATTTGTTTACAGTCTTCAAATTGATTATTAAAATTGTTCTTCGAAAGTCATGCTAGAATAAAATAACCCAGATGGTGGCAACAGTGAGGAAAAGGAGGGAGATGGGAAGGTCTGCCATTCATTTATAAACTATTGGGAGCTAAGTCTCACAAATCTTATGCAAGGACTATATGAGGTAGGTAGTATCGTCATTTTACAGAGGTAAAATGGAGGCTTTGATGATGGGTCACTTTTCCACAATTGGCAGCAGGGACACTAGAGAGTCAGGAGATGAATTTGGGTAGACTGATTCCATAGCTGCTTTTCTTTTTCATCCCATCACATTGGGAAGCAGAGTCGGAATCACCCTGGAATGACTAAAAGAGCAGGAAAGGCAGGATGTCCTAAAGTCAGCTCCTAGACACAAACTTTTGTGAAGCCAAGAAGGTGGATGAAAGCCCATATTTCTGCAGAACTGACACATTTTGAGGGAGATAGCAGTTGCCAAGGCATCACTACCCAGGTGCCAATTTCTTATGACTCTAATAACCTCGTCGGCACCAGGCTTCATGCAGTCAGTCTGCCAGTCAATAGATCCTCTGTGTGCTTGGCCAGGAAGGGCGGCGTCAAGCCAGGCTGTCATGGTGCCAACCTTCTTTCTTCCTAAAAATCATTCTGAACCCTGCCCCTCCCACTGGCCCAAGTCCCATCCTACATCAGTCTTCAGATTCACAACTCTACATTTCTCATCTAGCACTAGGGACTACAAGCTGTGGGGGTGATCTTTAGGCAGTTTCCAGGAACGCTCTGGATTGAAGTGGAAAGGAAGCATTTCCTGATTTTAATTCCTAGCTGTCTTTCCTCCTTGGGTTCTTTTGGCCTTGGACATTCCCTAGTATGGGCAACTCTGTAAGGTGTGTAGAGTGTTAGGGAAAGTCAAGGGCATTCAAATATGAGGGAAAGACACAAAGATGCAGGTGCAGACCCAGAGTTGGCCAATGACATTGCCCAGTGGGGAACAAAGAAAATCCTTGGAGGACAAGGAACCTGTAGCCAGTTGCTTGCCCAAGTATGGTGTTGCCTGAGCTGTGGTTTCACTTCCATTTCCTCCAGGCCCCAGATGAGTACTTTCACTGAAAATGAAAAGACTGTGGCTACAGTCCAGATGAAAGACAATCTGTGGCAAAGCCCCAGCACTTGGGGCAGGAGGGACCAAGACAACAAAAGACAAATCAGAGTAACTTCCAAATGGTGCCATTTATTTATTCTCAATTGAATTTTCAGTTCATCTCAGTGTCTGCTCACAATTCTCTGAGGAACTGTAGAACTTCTGTGGATGCTCCTCCCCTGAGACAAGCACAGAAACAGGCACAAACTGGGGCGGGGGGCATGAGCATACCAGGAATATTTTAGTTGTCAGTTGGCCTCTCTGGCTTTACTGTGATGCACATTTGTCTTCACATGATAGTCTCAAGAAAAATGAGTAGGATAGTACCACAGCAAGGAGTATGGAAGAGATGCAGTGAGACACCAGGGTCCTTACCTGCCCCCACTCCTTGTCCCTTCCTCTGCTTCATTTTTTTTTTTTTTTTAAACAGTGACAGGGTTTGAAACCAGGGCCTCACACATGCTAGGCAGGTGCCCTACCACTGAGCTGCATCCCCAGCTCTTTCTATTTTATTTTGAGACAGCATCTCACTAAGTTGCCCAGGCTGGCCTCAAACTCAATCCTCCTGTCTCAGCCTTCCTAGTAGCTAGGATTGCAGGTGCATATCACCAAACTTGTCTTTCTGCTTCCTTTTTGATCTTTCAAAAATAAAGAAGCAAAGGAAGAATACAAGTTAGCAAGGATGTTGACATTCTATTAGCAACTTTGTGATAATTAGCAAAAGGCATCCCCTTTTCCCGGCACATGCAGCCCTTCTATGCAGCACGGCATGAAGGCAGCCTCCTCCCATGCTGTGTTGGCTAGGTACCTTTGTACCTATGCTGCAATTCCCTAAACTCTCCCACCTTGAACAACCTCAGGGTTAAAAGACCAAGAAGAGATTGAATGCCACCCAGTAGTCTTCAGAATTCCAGATGGGCCCTGGTATTGATGGAGATCAGAGCCTCTCACTAGGAGGTCCAGGATGGTGACCTGAGAAAAAAAGTGCTGATGCTATTCTTGGCTGCCAGGGGTGTCCTGCCCACCACCCCACAAGCAACCTACCCCTTCCCCCTTGGACTCTGCTTTACTTCCCAGGATGGGGATGCATCTGTAGGGAAGAGAGGCATGGCCAAGTATAGGATTAATGTGCTACCCTTTTCAGCACAGGAACCCCAGAAAATTGGCTGCCTACTTGTGATAGTGGTTCTCTGCAGCCAGCCTCAACAGATATGGATTCTGATCGATGGATTCCTTAATTCTTCGAAGAAGCAGGGAAGAGGCAGGGTATGGTACTCTAGGGAAGGTTGCCATTTGGTTGAGAGGTTGCCACTAGTTCACCTGACAGCGCACAGAACGAGGCTGGGTGACCGTCATTTATGTATTACGGTGTCGCAATTACAGGCTACCAAGTTGCACTTTTTGCTCTGGAAATTTAATGTGTGACAGCTGCGTGCAGCCAGTGGTGTCCAGCATTTTTAAAAGGTCAATTAAGAAACGGTTGATGGTGCCGCAGCTAATGACAGCCCAGAGGGGTGAGCAGCGCCGCGTAAACAGAAGGGCCGAGATGTATTTTACTGGAATTGAAGTGTCGAAGTGAAGCGTAGTGGGGAGGAAATCTATTGTCACAAGCCATAAAGCACATCTGAGGTTTGCGGGGGTGAGCTGTACAGCTGTTTTCCCCGGGCAGCCCGGGGAGCAGCCTGTGAATGGAGGACTCGGTCCGACAAAGGGGACACCTGCATCAGCTCCATCAATCTGCAGGCAAAAATCATTATCCTCGCTGCTGCATGTTCCTTTGCACTTTTCGCTCTCCCACTTGGGGAGCATAAGGCGGAGGCTGCATTGATACTCAGAATGTGGGTCATGTTCTAGAAATCCATATTTTAAGCGTGCCCGGAAGCTGGTCCCGCCCTCTCTTCGCGGCGCGTGGGTGGCGGACAGCCCTGCAAGAGCCTCAGCAGCCAGTGTCCTCCTCGGAAGACACGTCGGCTGCCTGGCTTCAGCACACACAAAGCAGGCTAAGCGTCAGACCCTCTGAGCTGAGATGGATGAAAGGGTGACACGAAGCCCTTAGAAAAAGTCTATTTCGGCCTGTGACAGAATTGGCTCATGGTTAGGAAAGGCACTGTGTGGGGTTTAAAAAAAAATCAGACAAAGGGGTCTTAGACTCAGTGCACCGCTGCTAGGACAGGCTTTTTTGTCACATCTACCTGTCAAGCTACAAATTCAATAGAGCAATGAGAATGCTAATTGATATGCAAAACAGGTCTAGGGTTCCTAGAAATGTCTAATGATCCACCAATTCATTAGGAATGCAGAATTAAGACATGCACTCAATGAAAGGGGAGGGATAACACCAACCTTTTTGCTTTACTTTTTTTTTTTTTTCTTTTTTAAACCTACTTTGGGGAAACTTAACAGGTTTTACGATTAAAAAAAAAAGAGAGTATTGCAATCAGTAGGGTTTGTCTTTCACACACTGGATATTTATTATTAGAAAATAGCTTCTATGAGCTGTCAGTACCAAACAGGTTGAAAGGAGGTGCTTCTCACCATATTTTTTTTTTCTTCTTAATGATATTTAAATAAACAGCTCACTGTGTGGAGAGTTGCCACGCCTTTTTTCCCTTTAAAAACTGAATAATTAAATGAGATTTAGTATAAAACATCCTTTAAACATATGACCTGTTCTGTAGTCATTATGGTGCCTCTTTGAGTAAGAGACACGAAAGAGATGAAAAAGACCACTCAAGCTATCAAATTACCCCCAAAGAGTCCACAGTAGAAACCGGGAAGCAAGCTAGCCCAAATGAAACCCATCCAAACCAAGAAACCAGTTTTTACATTGGCTTTTCGATTTTGATTATCATCTAAGTTTAATATATATTTTAATATATATTTTGAAATAGTAATAAAAAAGGAAGAGTTGAATTGCATCCTTAGCAGGACAACCTTCCTCACATGTTAAAGAGGTGTTCAGAAAATTCCATAGAGTATCTGCTAAATAAACATGTTTGGCAGCTTAGCAAATATCATATGATTGCAGCATCCACGATTTGAAGAAAAACAGCATTTGCCTTCTTCTGGCAGAGTTCATTGCTCGGGCGATGTGCTAACACAGCTCTGGATGTTCTTAGACCCACAAGGTTAAGGAAGGGCTTGGAGGTGGCTCAGTGCATGGCCCCAGTGCAGAAACTTCCAAACCCAAAACAACGAATCAACCAACCAACACAAACATCAAACAATTGTCTCCTTTGAGTTCCTCTTGACCGAGTGGAGGCCCAGCAAGGACTGCTGGTTAGAAGGTACGTTGACAGATTTTGGGATGAGGAGAATCACCCTCTGATTGGTCCGACGCCATTCGTTGTACAATCGACAGTGGTACCTAAATGACACCTGGGGATGGGAGAGGAAAAATAAGAGAAGGTATACAGGTAGGCAGAAGTTGATAATCAATCTAAGAAATAATATTGCCACATAAAGCCGCTTCAGAGACTTGCAGCCTTGCAGTGGGGCAAGAACTCTGGGCACAACAACTCTAGCAAGTAGTTGAGTGCTGGGATATTACTGACCATCAACCAAAGTGTTCCATGTATGAACATGACAGGGCTTACATGATGGCTTCCCTTTTCTCACCACATAGCTAATCAGGATATGAACAGGAAAATGAAGTTCTTTCTGAGTTTGGATTTATTTCAGGGCCCCCCAGATCTTAGTTGTGAAAAAGGTTTGCTGGAGGCAGCAGGACAGACTAGGTACACCACCAGCCATTGTCCAGCTGTGTGACATGGTCAGTGTACCTATCTGCTCCACCAGCTTCCTCTGTTCAATGGGGAATACTAGGGATTAATATAGTTTCCTACAGGTTAGACATGCACTACAAAGGATCCCATTTGCACTGTGATACAAAGGACATCCTCTGTACTGGGCTGTGGACAAACTGTAACAACTATACTTGGTGGCCCTGAACATGGCATGGAGCACTCTATGTGCTGTGCTTGTTTTTCTCTCCCTGTGCAGCAGGAGCAACTTGATAGAAGGCTCTGTGTTGCATGCCCAGCACCTATCATAGTGTCCGACATTAATATTGCTCAAGAGAGTTTGCTGAAAGTGAATGAATAAATGAATAAAGATCCTAATATTTCTGATTGCAACACAGCTTCAAACTAAAGCCTTTCTTACATTATACCTGATAGTGTAAGCAGTGAGTCCTATGGTCAATTGTGACATAACTATACCCCAAAGCACTTGCTTTTTATGTAAAACAGCTGGAATGACAAACTTTGACCTGTTTGTTTTGGAGAAGGCTGGCATAAACTGATGGCCTGCCCAGGAAATTCAAAGTCTATACTTTTGAAGAAGCATTTTAAAAATGGGAGTAGATTCCATTTTGAGTGCATCCAGATATCTAGTATATGCTAGCAAGAAAGGTGTCCATGGATTCAGGGTGACCAGTCACTCAGGCCTGGACTGTGTAATTGTCTTGGGGTAGGTAGGTTGTGTAGACTCTCAGTATGGGTCCACGGGAGTCAGAAAGTGGGCTGTAAAATGTGAATATCAACATCTGAGATAAAGCACGTAACACACTTAGACAGCCTTGCATATGTGGTGGTGTTCTGGGCCTGAAAAAGACGATGACAATTTTGTGACTCTTCTTTAGGCACAGAGAAACTGAAAAGAGAGATTGAGCTGTTTCCTCTTAGGCCTTACTTTGAGTTGTGGTCATGGGCCAGCAACAGGTTGCATCTCCTGGGAGCTTATTAGATTATCCAGAATTTTGGGCCCCACCCAGACTAAAGGAATAAGAGAGCGCATTTTAACAAGATCCCCTGGTGATTGGCATGTACATTCAAGTCTAAGAAGCGCTGCTTCAAGTATTATTGAGATTCAAGGATTTAGCAGGTTTCCCTGTTCCTTGGCCAAGATTAAAAAAAAAAAAAAAAAAGGAGAAGAAGAAGAAAGAAAGGAGGAAAGAAAGAAAGAAAGGGGCTGGGGCTGTCACTCAGTTTTAGAGCGCTTGCCTAGCACACATGTAGCACTGGGTTCCATTCTCAGCACCACATAAAAATAAATAAATAAATAAAATAAAGGGATGTGTCCATCTACAACTAAAAATATTTAAAAAAGAAAAAGAAAGAAAGCCACTTGTATCGACAACCAAATGAGATCTTATTAAGCTATTTAATTGCTATTAACCACCACAGTCTGCAGGCAAATTCAATCACTGAAGAAAGCATCATATGAAGACTATTCCTTATCAGGGAAAATAAAGGAAGTTGAGGACAAGGCAGAGGAGACCACAGGTTTGCGTTGCCCTGGGTTAATGGCTGTCCCTGTCTCTAGATGCTCCAAAACACTCCCTCCCTACAATGCAATATCATAGGGAAAAAGGAGGCTTAATGTAGAGAAATAAAGAAGTAGTAAAGAAAAAACAAACAACATAAAATTAAAAAAGACACTACAGGGCTGAGGTTGTAGCTCAGTGGTAGAGTGCTTGCTTAGCATGTGTGAGGCCTTGGGTTTGATTCTCAGCACCGCATATAAATAAATGACTAACATAAAGGTCCATCAACATCTAAAAAACGTTTTAAAAAAGACACTACAAATAAATGTTAGGAGCTTTAAAAGATAGTTTTGAATTTTCTGAATTTTTTTTTTTTTTTAGGAGAGAAGAGAAAGAAAAGGTATAGGGTTATCATTTTAAAAATGTTACTTCTTATAGGATGGATTTCCTCAAGTTTATTCATGTTTGTATCTAAAGAATAGTTACCAACTTCCTATCATGGGAGAGTCTGTTTACAATGAGTTGCAACTACTATGAATGGCAGAAGGGGTAGGAAATGTTAATATCCATCTTTCCCCATTAGAGAGGTGACTAAGGCTGTGGTGAAGTCACAGCCGACTTTGGGAAATCTAATTACATTTTTCGATTCTGCCCTTTCTCTCGGAAGTTATGGTATAACCTAAATAAATGGATGGGGCTGGGGTTTTGGTTATTTGCCTTCCCTGCCATGGGCCCAGCTTGCTTCTCTCTGACTATATTGTGGAAGAGAAGAAGACTGGTAGTAAATTTACCATGGAGAAATACTAGCAAACCTTCTCTGGCTACCTGTAGGAGATGTGTCGAAACCACAGTGAGGCTTGTTGGGACAGTGTTCTACTGGATGTTTCCCCCTTCACAATAGGAACTTAAAGGAGTTAAGGGACCAGCAGTCTGCCTTTGAGGAACCAGGCCATCCATTCATTTTGGTGCATGCTGGGTACTGTCGGCTTCAGTGGTGTGACAGAAACACTTGGGCCCCATGGTGCATTGACTTGCAACCCTATACTGGGGCCAACACCAGGTCCATCAGTGTCATCATGCTAGCATGGACTCGGTTCCCAGTAAGCTCTTTCTGTGTCTGTCCATGGACTTCAGGTCATTTGTTACAGGAACAGTAATGTTTCTGGGACACTCTACCCTGAGCTCACAGGGTAGAAATGGGTGAGGGCCAGGCCTCCTGGGTTCCAGGTAGGCTTCTGGAACACCAAGTTTGCATCAAGATGGTTCCTGATGGCCACATGACAAAGTCCAAAGGCACTTGGAGGCATGTGGCATGACCACTTGTCCCTCTTCACAGCACAGGGTGGCAAGGCCCTTCAAGGAATTGCTCCTCTGAGGAGCCTGGCTTGGACTGACACTGTGTTTGTTTATCTAAGACATTTTCAGAGCATATTCTCCTTAAGCTTGACAGCTTGTTTACAATGGGTTTCTGCCGGAGGGCAGTTTCCAAGTGCTGTCAGCTTCTGAATTACGGCTCTTGCCAGGGCTGCTCAGTACAGCATTTATCTGGGAAGGAATTATTCTATATTCAGTAACCTATTGCTGAGCTGACTCCACAGCATGTTTTTCACACCAGTCAAAGGGGAGATGCCTTTCTTTCCTCCTGCTACTTTGCATTTTATAGAGGGCTGGGGAAAGGTAGGAGTGGGGGGGGTGGGGAGGGAAGTCACAGGGTGACAACCTGAGCCAGCACTGTGCTAGGTGCTTGGATATATGTTCTCAGGTGTTATCCCACTTAATCTTCATAATAACCACTGACCCAGGGGTTATCAATTATTTCTTCCATTTTTTTTTTGTATAAGAGGAAGGATGAGAGGTTAAATATTCTATTTGAGTTACTAAGATATTAGGATGCTAAATCTTAGATTTAAACATGGGGCCTCTGGATTCTAAATGCATGCCCTTTTTACTATGCAGCACCATCTCTCAGACACATTTCTGAAATGAAGTATGTTCTTCTAAGGCAGCCTAGTCTAAGTACCTTTTCCACCCAAACCTTCCTTTCACCTGAGATAGGAGATGAAATAGGTTCACATCCATTGTTCCCTGCCTTCCCACTTTTCCTTCTTGTTAGGAAAGTGTGTGGTTTTACAAAGCAAGTTTTCAAAAAGACCTTAAATTGGTTTTGAAAGCCCAGCATGGAGGTCTCACCTCCATCCATCCTTCATCACAGGAAATCTTCTAAGAAAAATTACAGAGCAGAAAAAGTCTAAATATGGCAAAAACTTACACATAATTATTATTTCCCAAAGTATTTTCCTATGTATTCTTCCATTTCAATCTTATAACATGAGGGGAAGTTGGCCATACGGTCATTACTGCCACCCCCACTTTATAGAAGGGGCCCCTGAAATTCAGAGAGGTAAAATGACTTTCCTAAGGTGGTGTAGTCAATGGAAAGATAGATGTAGTTAGACTATTTAATTTCTTATTTCTAACCATTCTTTCATCACAATAGAAGCTTCTGGATCAGCTTCATTGCTTGATTCACAATGAAGTAGGACACTTCGGAAGCATGGACTTTTAAGGGAGGTAATAACAATGTCATTTGGGATTTCATTAACCTGGAAACAGGATATCTAAGTTAACTGGAAGACTCAGATAAGTTCTTTGCATTAGAAAACTCCCAGCTTACCAAGGCTCAAGTCATGTCCCTCTTCCTGAGACTAAAATGTGTCCTCTTACTGTCTGAACACTCTCCTGGGAGGGGCCAGACAAGGCTGGCAGAACCACATGATGAGTAAGAGGGAAATGAGCAGGGTCCTTGGAGTAGCAGCTGATGGAGACACAGGGAGGGAGGAAGTGTGAGCCTGAGAAGCAGCTTCCACATGCTGACACCGTGCTATGGGATATGGCAAGATACACTTTAGACAGGAAACACCGATTGAATAACAATGGAACGTGCTCAGATTAGAAATGAGCAGGCACAGGAGAGTAATGCCAGGAAGCAGGGCACCGGGTTTCTGAAAACATTCAAGAGGAAAGTGACGTCCTTCCCGCAGTTCCCACAGGGAAGCATTAAGAGAGCAAATGTTGTACTTTGTGGGTGCTGCCAACTGTGCCTGAGCCATCA